ATATATATATATATATATATATATATATATATATATATATCAAACGCTTTTGTATAGTCTACAAAGACTACCAAGATGTGTCTTTTATTATCTAAATGTTTGTAAACGCTGTTAGTGAAGGTCGATAACAGTTGGGTGGTAATTTTCTTTGGTTGAATGCCATACTGTTTTTTCCGTTATTATATTGTTTTTAGTGTAGAAGTCATAAACCTGTCTGCAAATGTATTTTTCAGCAATTTTATCTATAACGGGTAAAATAGTAATTGGCCTATAGTTGTCATGCACCATAGTGCTACCCTTCTTATGGATAGGTCTAACTATGCCAGTTTTTAAAATATGGGGATACTTTCCACTTTTTATACAGGCATTAATTACGTCACTGACTAAGGTGCATATTTTTTATGTCTATAGGTCGCATCCCGTCAATATCTGGCGCTTTATTACAGTTTAGGTTGCATACTATTTTTTCTACTGCATTACCTTTAGCTGGTACAAAGCGTAACGAGACATTCGCGTTGTCACTATACAATGACTTATCCAATAAAGGCAGATTACATTTAAGGATTCATTTTTTGACGCTTACGTCGAAAGATTCAGCAAATGAACATGCAATCTTGTATGGAGGATAATTACTGTTACCAAAGTTGTCGAGCAATACATCATCAGTCGGTTTTGTAATTCGCCCCGTTAATTTATTTAATATCTGCCAAAGGTTTCTAGGATTATGTATGTTCTTATTAATTTCTAATTTAAGCCACTTATTTTTACTTTTTTGAATCACTGTGTTTGCATAATTTCGTACCTTATTGTAAGCTTGCTTTAAAATACTATTTCTAAAGTCTTTTGTCCATTGATTAACTAATTTGTCCCTGCGTTGGCATATTTTCAGAACTTTTTTGTTCATCCATTCATTACCAATACGTTTTGGTTTAAGGATAGTTTTGGACTCTTCCCTACATTCCGTATAACACTTATTAAAATTTTCGTGTATGAAATTGTAAATACTATAAGGACAAGATAATTCCCTCTATTTTTCTCATTCTATTTTACTAAGTGATTTGATAAGTGCAATATTATTTAGACAAGGTCTTATTTTTGGAACCGCTTGTATACTCAATCCAACGCAGGCGAACACTATAACTCGGTGATCGGCCAGTGTCGTATCAATTGCTGCCGTGTAAAGGTCTTGTGTATGGGATCTACGATAAATATGATCAATGCAGGACTTGTCTAACTTACCAGCTGATATTTCTATACGCGTGTTGTCGGTGATATCACGCACAAGGCCCATACAGTGCAAAGTGTTATTGTACTTATGTTTTACAGGTTTATCTGAGTTAAGATCAATGTTAATGTCTCCTATTAAAAACAACTCTCCATTGGAGCAGTGTTTACGTAAAGTGCTATCTAGTTCGCTAATGAATAAGTTTTTACTATTTTTAGGTGGGCGGTACACGGCACATATGTCTGCGGAATAACCTGAATGGGAGGCGATTGTGCATAAAATACTTTCAAAATGTTCCGTAGTGATGTTTTTAGTTGTAATCTGATGTTTGTTGTATATGTAAAGTACAATGCCGCCTCCCCTTCGGACTTCGCACAGAGAAGTTAACATTTGATATCCAGGGATGTGAAATAGGCATTTAATATATTCCTTTATATTAACCTCTGTCACAAGAATGAGATCGAGACCATACATTAGATGTTAGGACAATTTGTTCAAGTGAGGCAAAGTTTTTTATTAAAGACCTAATATTTACGTGCATGCATAATAAATTTATATTGTTTGGAATTTTCTTTAAGAGGCTGTTAATATTTATACAGTTTAGACATTCTGTATTTTCATCATTTAGTTCTTCCGTCATATTATAAGGACCTAAGACAAATATACGTCGATTAAATAATATTACTTAGCAAAAATGGCAGAAAGGCAAACTAAAGATATGGGTCAAGCAATTACGGCTTCTGATTAGCTAATACATGCACATCATTTAGGGTTCTAAGATAATGTATTTTGCTCGTATCATCCTTACGTGCTTTAACAAAATCTTTTTTGAACCAAACATATTTATAATTCAGCTTTAATTTAAGTTCTTGTTTTGCAAGCCACAGTATTTGTTTGTTTAGTTTAGTCATGTTTTCTCTTATGTATATGGGGTTAATGTTACCAGGTTCTTGCGGGTGGATGTCTGCAATTGTGACGGACGCTGTTTTTGCTGCTGCTAGCCATTTGTTCTGAATATTCTCTTCTTTAAGCTCGATGATTAGGTTACCTACACGATCTCCTCTTCCTTTCAGCCTGTGCAAATGCTTGATGCCGGTTGTAGAAAGAGTTAGTTTTTGAGCTAGGGTTTCAACTATATTTTGCAAATTCTCATCTTCGTGGCAGGGCACGTTAGCAATTTCTATACAGCTTGAAAGCTTTTCTTGCTCCAAAGCTTGAACTTGTTGCTCTAAGGCGCCTACTCTAATTTCTAGGTTATTGTTTTTGCTAGTAAGATCGGCGTTCTTTTTTTCAAGATTTTTGATAGTTTGTTTAAATTTTTCCATACATTGCATTACCTAGTCTAGTTTGTTCGTGTGAAATTTAAGGGAATCGTCTATCTGCGTCATTTCTTTCTTGATGATTTTTTCCACTTCCTTTGAGATATCTTTTAGCAGCTTTTTTGCGTCGGTTTTAGCTGCGCTTTTCTGGATGTCATCTTCCTCCTCATCATCATCTTCTGGAATCACGATAGAAGAGTTACGCATCGATGACTCCTGTACGCAGTCCGGACAGGTCCACCATAGTCCGGGTGATGCAGCTTTTAGGGCGGCGAGCTGTTTGTTGCTAAATCCGGTACATTTAGTACTAAGGTGCTCACATTTATTGCACTCTACTCCAGGAGAACTTTTGGTGATAGATTTGTTACAGTTATCGCATTTGGTCGACATTGTAGATAGTTTTGAAAAAGTAAGCGATACAAGCACAGCTGTAGCGCTAATGATATAATTTTATAATATTTTATAATTTTTTACCTTTTTTTCTATTACACCAATTTGCGCTATCCCTGTCATCTTATTGCAATCCTGTCAATTCATTGGTTGTCTGGAAGAAATTGCTGTCAGTAATAAGACCGGTCATTGCATAATTATTTTGTATATATAATCTGTTAAAAATTTTACTATGGTATGTAATAAAGAATTTTAAATAAATAAAAATCCAGCTTAATAAAGTCATATTAGCCAACATACAAAACAACTAATTAAGACACGCACAGAATTAATAAACACAAAGAATAAAAACATAGAAAAGAAGAATGAACTCATCAAACTCTTTATATCGCCAATAAATATAGAGATTTAAACATAGAGAACAGATAATATTAAAAAAAATAATAGCTTTAGAAGCACTAAGAGAGAATTCAATGAACTAACTCTTCAAAGAAATGGATATCAAAACTGCAAAACAACGTGTGCAAAACTGCAAAACAAGAGACTAAGAGAAAAAAAGATGTGAAAGGCCATACTACCAAATAGTTATAAACAGCTATACAAAAAGAAGGAAAATAAGAATGCATTGGAAGAAGAAATTGATATTAAATCTGGAGTAAATACAGTTAAACCAATAGAAGTAGAAGAAAGATTCTCACATACAAAAATACTAAAAAATGAAAAATGTCCAAGAACCGATGGGTTAACAAACGAAGCCTTTAAAGAAATTAGGTTATCTTACTTAGACACATAACATGCCTCTTTAATATGATATTAAACACAGAAATGGTACCAAAACATTGGTGTATATCTGAGGTTATATCATAATCATAATCATAAACACTCACCCCTGTCACCCAGAGGGGTAGGCAGAGACTACGGACTTCCATTTGACACGATCCTGACATACCTCTTTCGCCTCCTTTACATCCACATATCTACGCATACATGCTCGTCGGTTAAGGGTACTTTTAACGCCCATTTTCAAAATATCGCCAATTTGGTCGATAAACTTTTTTCTAGGGCGTCCCTTCCCGACTCTGCCGTTCACATCTGCCATATAAATTTGCTTTGTCACTCTTTCCTCATTCATTCTTTCTACGTGACCAAACCACCGAAGCATTCCTTTCTTAATCCTGGTCACAACATCATCTTGCATACCACATTTATCTCTTATCACGCAATTTCTCACCCTGTAATTCAGATTCAACCCTAACATACTCCTTAAAGACCGCATTTCTACAGCATTTATTCTACTTTCGTGCTTCTTCTGCCACACCCAGCTTTCACTACCATACATTAAAGTAGGGACTAACACAGCATTATGAATTACCATACATGCCTTTTTTGATACATTCTGGTTCTTCACAATAGAGTGTAGTGCCCCATTCACTCTATTCCCTGAGGTTATATTAATTTATAAAAAAGGAAGCTCATTGGATATCGAAAACTACAGATCCATCAATCTAATTTAAAATAGAGATAGTTATATCTATTAGAAATGACATCACATTAACACATTAACACACATCGCAACATCGCATTTCAATGTCTATGATATCAATAGGTCAGCAGGTAGACTGTGTGCTCGTTTCTCACTTTTATTCTACATAAAAAAAAGAGATGGCATCTTCTGTCTCCATCACACATTGTCACTTAGGATTAAGAAAATAAAATATCCAATAATAATTATGAAAAAGTTGATTTATTATAATTATAATTATAATAATTATTATAATACAGTTTACAATAATTACAAGCGATCACCAAACGGGGTGAAACAAAACGGCGAATTAAATTATGGGGCGGCTGCGCGCGGTCTACCGCGGCCGGCGCGCGCCCCGCGCAGCCGCCCGCGCGAGTTAGGTTATAGTCTTTCGAACGCGAGGAACAAAATGTTACACAAGTCGAGAATATTATTTATAATCGATAAACGATTCGGAGTAAATCGGATTCGAGAGCGGCGGAAGCGAGCCGCGGCGTCAGCGGCGGGGAGCGGGGCGGGGCAGGCGGTCTGTTCACTGCCGCTACGGGCAATCGCACTCCTCGACCACCATCTCGGGCAAGTCGCGCTTGATGATGTTCGAGTCGGCGCCAAAGTAGATGAGCGACAGCGCGGAGAAGCGCACGGGAGCGCAGCACGCGGCGCGCTCCAATTTCGCCGCTTCCACAACCTGCGCGTGGTAGTTAAGGAAGGGCGCGCAGGCACCGCGGCAGTAGTTCGCGTAGTAGCCCTCCGGCGCTACGATCCAGTCATCCCAGCCGAGCGCGCGGAAGCTCACGTAGTAGGTCTGGCGGCAGCAGCGGCCGCGTGCGGCAGCGTCGCAGTCGAGCGCGCGGCGGCGGCGCGTAGCATGTTGCCGTAGCGTGAGTCGTAGCAATGGGCGGGCGGCCGCCGCGCCTCCCAGCCGTAGCCGCACGCGACCCGCGCAACCGCTACAATCCAGTAACAGCCGTAGAGGGGCGCGCGCGCCAGCCGCCGCCCAGCGGCGCGCCGCGCCCGTCACGTCCAGTCGCTGCCATGCGCGTGCGGCGCCACGCGTAGCACCAGCTAGGGCCCCTACGCGCGTCGCGCTACCATTGCCTGCTACGGTAAACGCCCACAGCGTGTAGCGCGGTCGCCGCGCACGCGGTGCTTCCGCGCGCACGAGTAACTCGGCGCGCGCCACCGATAGACCCTGTTCGGTCTCGGCTTCATGACCCAGTCGGAATTCGATCAAACGCTGTCCGTTCAGGGTCTCACCTGTAAAACGACACCTAATTACTAAATGACACCCAACTGTGCACAATCCTACGATCCCTACATACGGCGAAATGACTCATTGGCGCAAGTGATCGGCGATCGCGACGTACAGGAAGGGAAGAGGATAAATTAGGCAGAGTGCACACGGTGGTCGCCCATGGCTGTGGACTGCGCGTGCGTGGTCGCCGTGAGTGCTCGGCTTTGTGGCGGAGCCGCTCGAACACGCATGACGGGACACGGTTTGCGGTAGCCGCGCGAACGCCTGCTTTGGTATATCCCCATTGAGACCTATTGGACTATGGGAGTATTGATAGTTTTCAATTGGATATTTCACCGCCGCGATCACCGATGTTTTGATATTGATGAAGGTAATAGTTTTGGGTAGAACTTTGACATCTCCAACGATGAACTCCAAGAAAGGCGTCGCTTGTCACGTGGTTTGTCGCGTTGCATATTCCCTCGAAGATCGGTGATCTGGAAAAGAATTATCAGTTGAATGTCAAACTAATAATCTTAGTAACATCTTAAATCTAACGGACGATAACATGATCCTGGCCTATTTCTACGGCTCATAGACATCTACATTTAAACTCAATTAAGAATCAAAATGCAGATGCGTTGTCACCCTTGAGGACTAAGGATGGAATGCCTCAATTTCAATAAAAAGGGTCTCCGGTTCTCTACACTCACCATACGAAACACAGCAGCATTAAGCTGCTATTATACACTGGTATTCTATGAGAGCGTGGTCCTTCCTCGGTCGAGCCGACCCATTCATGCCACAATCATAATATAGCAGCGTGGCTCTACCACGTATAAAATTGATGGATTCACATATCCATTTTATTAACCAGATGGTTCTGTTTGAATAGAATGGTGATGTTTCCTTTGTTATGATGTGGTATGCACAGCATGTGGTATGCTCTGCGCTGAATGAAGTGTGCTGTGACAATCAGCATTTAAAATTGCAATTACCAAGTTCATGCGCTGGGGGGATTGAACCCAGCTTGCTACATTTCCTTTTAAAATTGAAATTAGATTATTTTATACGTGGTAGAGCCATGCAGTAGCTTTATAATGATTGTAGCACGAATAATCCGTCCAGACCGGGGAAGTACTACGCTCTCACAGAATACCAGCGTGAAACAGCGGTTTTATTCTGCTGTTTTAGTGTGCTTCGTGTGGTGAGCGTAGAGAACCGGAGACCCGTTTTATTGGAAACGGCGCATTCCCTCTTAGTCCACGAGGATGACGACGCATCTGCATTTTCTAATATTTTTTTCTTTTTGTTTGTCTTAAATAAGTGTTACTATCACACTAGGATTTTCTTCTGTATCGTGGAGGAAAATTAAAAACATAAATAGCACAAGAACCAACATCCAGAACTGGAACAATTATTTAGAACCTATGCAAATACTTGTTCCGTGCGGGATTCGAACCTGTAGCCCTCTGCGCCGCAACTCAATATAAAGACACTGAGCCATGGAGCCGTCAACGGGGATATATATGTGCCACAAATCACCATAAGGTGGATTATATACTCAGTTGTCACCCGTATTCTAAAAAGGAATTCTACAAAAGAGCTTAGCAATTTGAAGTTAAAAACCACGATATTTTCAAGGCATAAATTAGTGTGAACTAGTCTTTATAACAAAACCTGACGGCCGACAACGCCGCCGACACTTAATGGAGTTAAGCATGATCATTCTGGATATCTTAGCACGCGATGGCTGTCACCAGCGAGGCGATATAGCGAATGGGCCGTAGGTTTACGCCCTGCGGAATGTGTGTCGCAAAAACCGCAAAATAAATGCATCTAGGTCATGTCGTGTGCTTTTATAGACCTAATCAACCACACATAATTTACAGTCATTGCATTTATATGACCGAATTGATTTTGAAGGTTAAATTACTTTTCTTGCCTTGACATTTTTGGTTATGTAGCAAACTGTCAAATAAATTATTTTCATAATGATTTCTTATATCTACGCGAACACTACACATTGATTAAACTAAAATGTATAATTAAACGCGATAAAATCCGTAAAAGTAGTTTTAATCAAATTATTTTCATTTTCATTTTTTTATTTTCAGAGTGGACAGGAATGTGTTATGGCAAACACTGAACTCATATGGGTTGAGCGCTGGTTTGATACAGGCATTAAGGTCTCTTTATAGGGACTCTAGTGCCTGTGTCAGGATCAATGGGGTCTACTCGGACTGGTTTGGCATCCAAAAAGGTGTCAGACAGGGCTGTGTGGCTTCCCCTTGGCTGTTCAACCTATTTATGGACCGGTGTTTGCAAACTTTGAAAGATGAAGAATGTGGGTTAAGAATGGGCGAGTTAACTGTCAAATGCCTTTTGTATGCCGATGATCAAGTCATACTTGCGTCATCGGCGGCAGAGTTGCAAATGATGGTTACATTAATGAACTGGGAATTAAAAGAAAGGGGAATGAAAGTGAACGCAAGTAAGACGAAAGTGATGGTTTTTGAAAGAGAAGAAAGCAAAACGGTATGTGAAATAAGAATAGAAGGAGAGTTGATTGAGCAAGTCGATGAGTTTGTGTATTTGGGATGTGTATTTAGCAGGGATGGTAGATATGATAGGGATATAGAACGACGAGTAAATGCAGGGAATAGAGTGAATGGGGCACTACACTCTATTATGAAGAACCAGAATTTGTCAAAACAGGCACGTATGGTAATTCATAATGCTGTGTTAGTCCCTACTTTAATGTATGGTAGTGAAAGCTGGGTGTGGCAGAAGAAGCACGAAAGTAGAATAAATGCTGTAGAAATGCGGTCTTTAAGGAATATGCTAGGGTGTAATCTGAATGACAGGGTGAGAAATTGCGTGATAAGAGATAAATGTGGTATGCAAGATGATGTTGTGACCAGGATTAAGAAAGGAATGCTTCGGTGGTTTGGTCACGTAGAAAGAATGAATGAGGAAAGAGTGACAAAGCAAATTTATATGGCAGATGTGAATGGCCAAGTCGGGAAGGGACGCCCTAGGAAAAAGTTTGTCGACCAAATTGGCGATATTTTGAAAATGGGCCACGTTAGAAGTACCCTTAACCGACGAGCATGTATGCGTAGATATATGGATGTAAAGGAGGCGAAAGAGGTATGTCAGGATCGTGCCAAATGGAAGTCCGTAGTCTCTGCCTACCCCTCTGGGTGACAGGCGTGAGTGTTTATATATATATATATATATATTATATATTTTTTATTTTCAAAACACGCGGGCACAATTTTTGAAGATTCGATTTAAAGCGTTTGGTGGTGGGGTTAGAGAGTTCATCACTTAATTTTGCCTTGGTTGTTATATAAAGCGATTGGAAATTCCAGAAAGGATTTATGACTTCTGATAGATAGGGGTATGAATTGTAATCATCACTTTATAGCAGACATGGAATACTAGACTGGCGATTTGGATCATCATCAAAGATGCGAGACGTCTGGTACTGTGACCGTCTATCTATCTGCCAAGCTTGATAATTAGGGCAAATCCTGCCAACATGAAGAGACGCTCAAATCCAGAAGTGAAATTTCAGGGACTGATGAAATAGAAGTCTACAAACAATTATTCTTAGGCCATACAAATGCTTGTTCCGTGCGAAATTCGAACCCACGGCTCTTAGCGCTGCAACTTATTGAAAACTACGCCACGGTGCCATCAACGTCAACGTGTTTTAATCAATATTGCTTAGAGTTGTACGACAGTAGTCGAATGGCAGTTTCGACAACTACTCCACAACTCCATATCTAAATTCCAGGCACGACTACAGTCCTAATGGAGCCACAATTTGAAGGTGGGTTTGCATAGATCTCGACGATATACGCCGAAAAGTACGAATAAATATTTCGATATCTCGCTTAGATTTTGAGATATCGATACTAAAAAATTACTTTTTTTACACAGGAATATTCAACCAAAGTTACTTTTACAATGGCTTCGCCGCTGCGGAAAGTTCCCCTTCGCCCTTGTGTAGCAAATCGCAGGCACCCCTGCTCACTTTCGCAGCTTTGGCTTACAGCCTCAGCCGCTACGGCTTGCACGGGTGTCTGCAATTTGCTACGGCGGGCGGGGGCTGCTCTCCCCTCCGCGCCTACGGCTTTAAAAACACTCTAGGGTAGGCAGACAAGACTACGTGGAATCGGGGTGTGGTGATTTGGTTTTATTATTCGATTTTTGAGTATCGATATCTCGGAAACTAAGCGAGATATTGCAAAACGTTATACTTACTTTTCGGCGTTTCTCTTCGAAATCTATGCGAATGTTTCGAATCGTGGCGCTGTATGCACCGTTGAAACCCCAATTTCCACAACAATATTTTAATTAAACTTCCATTTTGTATCCTTGATTATTAGACTACTTACGTTATCTCTTGATATAATTTTATATCTAATCAACAAGACGCATTCTGTTTTTTTTTGTAACATGATTATGAGTCTTTTCTATTGATAACGATTAACTATCACACCTTCTTTAAGGAAAATAAAGAAACAAGTCCGCTTCATTAATTTATAATTAACTATTTTACGTATTGAGTTACGGTGCTGAAGGCCGTGGGTTCGAATCCGGCATTGAACAAGCATTTGTACGGCGTACAAATAATTGTTCTGTGTCTCCTCCTCCCTCCACGATACAGAAGAAAATCCTAGCGTGGGGGGGGGGTAACGTTACTGTTAGAAAATTACAGCCTAATCATAGAAAGATATCATATTAATCTGCAGGTTTTTTAAGATTACGGACGCAGGACAATGGGTGTGCTTGAACAGAATATCAGGGTGAATTATGCGGAATAATGCGATCTTGTTCCGTATGTTAATAGTAGAGATTCAGCTACTTATTTATTTAGTGGCAAATACGCATTTCATGCTAATCGTCAGAAGTAATTACACGTCTGCATTTTGATTTAACATCGATGATAGATGTTCAAAGCTAACAGTATCCACTTACCAAAAATTAGACTTTGTACTTATGCACCCTAACTTGTACAAAAATACGTGTTTTAGAATGCGCTTCAAGCAAGTTCCATATTGGTTTTTTTGTTAATATCATATTGGTTACCAAAAATTAGGTCTTTGACACTCTGGAGATGGAAACTAATTATTATGAAAAATCCATTAAGCTGTTAATATAGCAAAGAAATAAACAAATATACATACGACCTGTAGCGTTTCTTGTTAGAGCCTAATAAAATTATTTTACTTTAATAAAAAACTTAGGCCTATTTTTTATTGGAAATTGTTATAAAAATTTAATAACCTACATATGATAATACATATAACAAATATTGCATTGTTTCCGTGTTTTGTAACGTTAATTACTTCTGTTTTTGAAGACGAAATGTTACGTTTCTTCTTCAAAAACAATAAGTGTCGATAATGTACAAAATTCTGGCAGATCTAGGTTTCGTATATGCCTAAACGAGGTGACGGTGACACGTCCGCTCGACGAAATAAATTGGAAACATTTATAAACAGTCAGGCATATACCTAGTAGCAACATATTATTGCGAAACTAGCTTTAATCCTGGGCTCCGCTTGCATAGAATACGCCCAAAAAAGGAAGGCAAGTGGAAAATGGAAGGTCTATTTGGACACATGTATATCTTTATATATATAATATTTCTGTCCGTATGTATGTGAATGAACTCCGCCTAAACGGCTGGACCATATTTTATTCAAATTGTGTGTGTGTGTGTGTGTGTGGGTGTGTCTGTGTGTGTGTGTGTGTGTGTGTGTGTGTGTGCGTGTGCGTGTGTGTGTGTGTGTGCGTGTGTGTACGATTAAGCTGATTCGAGAATGGTTTAGATTCACAATTGGACCCGGTTGGTGGCGTTGTTTTCGAGATCCAGAAAACACAGTATCCACTTACGATCAGACGGCGAGTGTGCTCATTAGTCGCCCATATTTTATAAAAAATAAACCGAACTTCACGACCGAAGTGCACGAGAGTGTGCGCCGGCACAGGTGCACTTCCTATTCCCACGTTCTCATAGTCTGATTGCAATGCAATTCGACTCGGCCAGAGAGAGTACGACGGACTGAAAAGTCTTCAAATTCCTGACTCCGGGCTGTTGACTGTAAACCTTGACAGAAATACCCAAGATTTGGCCCGAACCGTTATTCGAACTCGGGACCACAAATTTGTCAGTTGCACATTACGACCACTAGAGTAATGAGATAGACAAGCAGTCATCTATAAATACGTTTAGTTGTATTGTAGTTTATGTAGCTAAGTCGTAGTGCAGTTAAGTACGTGTAAGAGACTCCACTACGCCGTAATATGGTTCCGTGGGTCGAGAGAGAAATAAAGCAGCAATTTCGCGATAATAACGCAAAAGAATGAGAAACTGCGGTTGCCAACCCGCCTGTTAATCATGACAACTGTGACAACTGTGACAACTGTGGCGGATTAGGTAATCCATGAGGGGGCCCTATGTTCAGCTCTTATGAATGAATAGTTTTAAATATATGTTGGGTAAACAGCTGTGCAATAACAGACATTTCATATGAATCAGTTCAGTTATTCTGTTTATACATATACACTTATTCCCCGAAACAGTTATATTGCAGGAATTTTTAGAAAAAATTCAGCATTTATAAATTTTTAAAAATATTAAATTAGTAAACCTTTTTTTTTGTTTTAAAAGCGTGTTCTTCGCTCCAGCAATTTATTCTTTATCGCGAAGCTGTTATACATAAAATAAGCGTGGACAAACACCCCAAGCCGGGAACAATTATTTAAAGAATTTACCAATATTATCACGTGATTAAGCGTCGTCAATCCTAACAATATCTAAAACAATATATAAAAAAGGTTTTACTTGGTGCCTATTTCAATGTTATGAAAGAAATAGACACTGTAGCAGAGAAAAACTTTATTAATAGATAACGACCATCTTGCATTGCCTTTATAATTCTAGAATATTCGTATAGCAATATTCGTATAGCAATATTCGTTATGGAATTAAAGACATTACTTAGGACAAGCAATATAGATGTAGAATGGATAACAATGGGCCACTATCGTGAATAACGCCATAATAACTCTGTAATTATTCAGAATTCTTTTAGATCTTATTGCCTCACATTATCACTAAAAGTGATTTTTTCTCATTCCTTACAAACCATCTAAATTTCACTTATGAACGTAGGCCACCCTTATAGTTTGCCGGAAGTTATATTTTCCATAGTTTTCACGCTTAACGTGCGGTTGGAAACGACATTTTTCTTATAATTATCGATTTCTGTACGAATACATCGCTGCCCGTCTCCTGTTTCAGTTTTTTTAACATCCACGAGATGTTATAATGAATATTCTTCTTTATTATTATGATAGATTGATGACTCGGAAGAGAGTAAATAATATATTTTCTTTTACAAGTATGGATGAGTACCGCAATACCGCACACAGTTCTACTAATAGTAAACGGATACTGTACACGTACACTTAACTACATTTATTCTCGATTAAGAATCACATGCAGATGCTAGACTAGTCTACTATTAGATACTATTCCTACTTTTTAGCCTATAACACTTCTTTTCCTTTTTTATAGAATAAGGGTGACAAACGAGCACACCTGATGGTAAGTGGATGCTGTCGTAAAAATTAAATAAATTTTGTAAATATTTTGTGACCCTTGACATTGTAAAATTTATTTTAAAAAATAAGTCCCGCTGGGTTTCTTGCTGGTTCTTCCCAGTACAGAGGTTTTTTTTTCGAATCAGTGGTAACGTAAAATATTGACTTTCAATAAGAATTACTTGTAATCTATATTGAATAAAAAATTATTCTATTCTATTCTATAGTCCAAAGCCATCTACATTTTTCCTCAATTAATAATCAAAATCCAGATACGTTGTTATCACTGAGGACTGAGGTGGATTACCTCATTTCCAGTAAAAAAGGGTCTCCGGTTCTCTACACTCATTATGTGAAACACAGCAGCATTAAGCTGCTATTTCACGCTGGTGTTCCTACTTCATAAGCATTTAAAAGTCTGCTGGACATGAACCTCTCCCATTGGAACTTGATCGTCACTCTTGACTTAAAGACTGACGATTGCAGAACCAGACGCAACTCTGACACTGCTGCCTGTTGAAGATCTTAGTGTTTTACGTCTGACAATAAGTTTTTTCTGATATTTCCCACAGTCGACTCTTACATCACCCACGGGATGAAATCGAGTGGTGGATCATCTAACGCCGCCACCACCGACAACTAAGTCTAAAGTTACATTTATCTATAATTACTAAACTAATTGATATTGCTATTGTTTTCACTTCTCAATGATTAGCTTTAATCGCCAGGTTTGTCAGGAGCACTAGACATCTCGTACCTATGACGGCGTTCCCTGATGACAATCTGGGTTCCCGGAGAAGAATGACTTATTCCAAAGAATCTATCACCCTTACATGCCTCCACCTCAAGGCCATATATGTGACCAGTAATTTTACTGGTCACATATAAAAAATGTAAAATGAACGCTTGAAATGCTTCCATTCCTGCTTGGCAAGGAGCAGGCTACGTAATAAAACTGTATCCTAACTCCTCGAAATTTATTTTACAATACATTATAAAAAAAACTATTTCATTCCGCATAACTCATAATAAATACTCACGCCTGTCACCCAAAGGGGTAAGCAGAGACTGTGGACTTCCATTTGGCACGATCCTGACAAACCTTTCTCGCCTCATTTACATTCATATATCTACGCATACACGCTCGTTGGTTAAGCGTACTCCTAATCTGGCCCATTTTCAATATGTCGCCAATTTGAATAAAACTATTATTTACGGATTTTATCGCTTTTAATTACTTTAATTTATTTTTATTATCCCGACGTTTCGGGTGCTTTACAGCACCCATGGTCACGGGGGGGACTGAGATTGTTGATGCGCCATGGGTGCTGTAAAGCACCCGAAACGTCGGGATATTAAAAATAAATTAAAGTAATTAAAAGCGATAAAATCCGTAAATAATAGTTATATTCAATGTGTAGTGTTCGCGTAAATTTAAGAAATCATTATCGCCAATTTGGTCAATAAACCTTCGTCCCTTCCCGACTCTACAGTTCACTTTTACAACTTTCCTAATTCATTATTTCTACATGACCGAACCACTAAAGTGTTTTTTCCTTAATCCTGGTCACAAAATCATTTTGCAAACTACACTTTCCTCTTATCACACAATTTCTCACTCTGTTATTCAGATTTACACCTAGCATACTCCTTAATGACCGCATTTCTACAGCATTTATTCTACTCACGTGGTTTTTCTGTTACACCAAACTTTGTTCACTACCATACATTAAAGTAGGAACTAACACAGCATTATGGATTGCCATACGTGCCCTTTTTTATCACATTCTGACTTGTCATAATAGATTGTAGAGCCCCATTCACTCTATTTCCTGCACACTTTACGCACGCTGTAAATAAGCCAGAAACATTTGTAAAAACCGATTTTAGTTCACACTTTATTAATAAAAAAATTAGAAGAAACAAGTAGACCGCAATAACACCCTTGTTGTTTGTTACCTAGTCTAAAAGCCGATGCTTTAATGGAAGTTAAAAGAAAGTGTATTTTTATTAATACACAAATCTATTGCAAAAATCCGCTGAACAATCAAATAAGGGTCACGGATTTTATAACATACTTTATATTGACAAATACGTCGAGAATAATGATTTTTATCCTCTGTAAACCTCGGTGTAAACATAAAATTAAATATAATATAATACATATGATTCTTTAAAGAATTCGTAATTTGATTAAGAAATCTTACTTATTTTACATTACACTTAAGTACTTCAACGATCAACTCTACAACATAAAAGAATAATAACAAGGTTACGCAATATAAATTAAAAACTAATTTACCTACCTCGAACTGAAATCGGAAAATTCCCGTCAAACTTTTCGCGTAAAAAGTTTCCCATAAACGGCGACGAACATCCCGCGTCCTTAGACCCGCGTTTCGCAACTAATCGTTCACGGGAAACTCCATTCGTTTATATACTCGCGAGGGTAAGTTTTTCCACGGCCGTGATTCAGAGTTTGGGAAAAACAGAGGGGGGTCGCCGGCAACGGTTAGTCTGGCATGCGTCATTTATGTCTTACTGTCCGTTTTCTGGCAATAGTACAACTCTATCTGAGGTTTGCGTCAATTTCAGGATTTTTGATAATATTTTCTCAAAGTCATTTATAACAAGTATGTTTGCATCATATGTTCATTATTTTTAAATACCCTGATGATGCCGTGAGGCGAAAACCGGTTGGTTTTTGTAATTAGTGATTTAATAATTGTTATTTCTAATTGGAGCCGTGGTAGCTCATATGGTTAGCGCTCGCTGTAAATTTCACAGTACGCGAGCAAACCGGGTTCGATCTTTACCGGCACTAATGAAATTGTTAATTGCAATTTTAAGTGCTAATTTACCACGTGCTCGGCGGTAAAGGAAAACATCGTAAGGAAACCTGCATTTCTGAGAAATAAAAAAAATATTTCGAAGACATGTGAAGTTTGCCAACTCGCATTGGGGCAACGCGGCGGACAATTCCATGCCCTAAAACCCTCTCAGAAATGAACGGAGGCCTGTACCCAGGAGTGGGACGTATATAGGCTGTAACTTAACTTTAATAATTTATAATAAATATTGTGTAGTAAAGTACTTACGAGTATTTATCCAAATTACAAAAGTAACTTACAATTTTTAATTAATTAATTATTTTACTTAATTTTTTTAACTTTAAAATTTCTACTCAGCAATTGTGTTTTTGTAATTCGATTGCTTTAAATGTAGAATAAGATGAACTTGTAATTATTATATTTTTTTATAGAATAAGGGTGACAAACGAGCAACAGTCCACCTGATATTAAGTGGATGCTGTGGCCCATAGACATCTACATTTATCTTCGATTAAGAATCAAAACGCAGATCCGTTGTCACTCCTGAGTACTAAGGTATGGAATGTCTCGTTTCCAGTATAAAAGGATCTCCAAATCTCTACACTCACCTTACGAAACACAACAGTATTAAGTTGCTATTTTACTCTGGTACTCTGTGAGAGCGTGGTCTTTCCCCGGATTTCGTTCCATGCTATAACCATAATATAGCTGCAGCGTGGCTCTACCACGTATAACCAATATATAAATAAAGCCTTTTTGAAGTTCTATATATTGCTTTCTAGGTGGTAGGACTACTTTCTGGACTAAGAGTCCGTCTGGGTAGATACCATCTTCTTACCTATTTCTGCCGCTAAGTAGTAGCCTTGCTTTGTTCTGTTCTGAAGGGCATAGAGAGCCAGAAGTTGATGCAGATGTCCATGGACTACCCCTAGTGGCGTAGAGGAAGCAGTAGTTAGTAGCTGTGGCTCAGTCACCTATAGTGAACTAAGAAACACCCATACAGATGGCCCGTTGCAAGAGGGCCTGGCAAGCCCTCTTCTGTTTTGTGTTTTTGGTATGCTGCGGCGAGAGCGGTGTCCCCATACCGCTGCAACCGTGGAGTCGTGGGTGGAGAGGAGTGGTAACCAAAACCAAAACCAGGAACCAAAACTTGGTTAGCGGTTGCTTAGAGTTCTTGTTTTTTCCTGGCCCTATGACCTCCGCAACAACGGACTCGGCGGCGCGAAGTAAGGCGCGCCTTACCTGCGAAGGAGAAGAGGGAGGACTTGTCCTCTCCTGAGAAGGGGATGTCATGGGGCGGCCAATACTGGTAAGGTCATGAATGTATGATGAATTAATAATAGAAAGGAGGAATCAGTTTAATACATTTGAATATTACCACCGCATTTTTAACGTGTGACAAAAGTCATGGGTTCGAATCTGTCATTTAACTACACTCCAGACAAAAGCATTTCACCCAGACCGGCAATGGGATCGGTATCCAATATGACTACAATCGCCAGTCCATTTACCCAGTATTGCAATTATGACAAATCCTACTGTGGGAAAATCCAGGTCCAGTTAACGGCAGATTAAAAAAAAAACGCAGAAAAAGTAACTAATAATTTTTTAAAGTTTTTTATAGAATTAGGGTGACAAACAAGCACACAGTCCTAATGGTAAGTCCTGATGGTAAGTAGCTCCTGCAGCCCAGGGACACCTGCAACCAACTTTAAATAAAGAAGGCCTCTTAGGAAGGAAGATGATGACGATGACGTGATGACGGGAAACGCGACGTAAATCTTATAAAAGATGGTGGATTACCCATTTACAAAGTAATATTATTTTTTTTTATTTCATCAAACTGGACACTAGACATATCTAGGTTTTAATTAAGTTTTTATACGTGGTAGAGCCATGCCGCGACTATATTAGTAGTATAGTCGTAGCACAAATGAGTCGGCTTGGCATTGGAGGGAGGGTGGGGGGGAACTGATAATCTTCACCAAAATTAGGTACCGCAATACGTCAATATAGTTGCGAAAGTTGGACATGAATGGTGTTCAGCAATCATAAGATGTTTGTATTTCAATGACAGTCGCTGTTTACTTTAGCCGACTGTTACTCTGATTAGGTTCTAAGCTTATGTTATTTATCAGAGCCACTTAAATCAGCTAATCCTACAGTTGAAAATAACTGATACAAGTGAAAATACAAATTAATTTTAATATTTCAGGTGATATAAATGACAATAGAAGCCGATTTCAATATGTCAATAAAAGGCTTTTTTTTCGAAGCTCTATTTTCGGGTCAAGGACAAAATGGTCTTAAAGCTTATGGCGTTAAGAGTGAACGTGTAGATTATTTTGAAGAAAATATTTTTAAATTATTATTATTTATTCATTATGACCTTACTGCCGCATCCACCGTTGAACCTAAGGCCTTATAAATTGCCTCATGGGGGGTCTTTCTATAGTTACCACGCTTTGCACTGGCATTTATATAAAATTTTAAAAAATTTACCTGCACAAAATTCAAAAACTTTATTAACTAAGTCTGTATAAAAAGGGTTATTATAATATTAAGGACATGATAATAACCCCTGGGAAGAGTGATCGATACCAAGTTATTTCTAATTTGTTTTGTGTTGTTAAATGTGTAACATCTGAGCTACCGCGGCCAGTACGCGAGCAAACCGGGTTCGATCCCCGCCGGCACCAATGATATTGTTAACTGCAATTTTAAGTGCTGATTTACCACGTGCTCAGCTTTGAAGGAAAACATCGTGAGGAAACCTGTATGACTGAGAAATAAGAAAAATATATTTTGAAGACATGTGAAGTTCGCTAACACGCATTGGGGCAGCGCGGCGGACAATTCCTTGCCCTACCCTCTCAGAAATGAACGGGAGGCCCGCGCCCAGAAGTGGGACGTATGATTGTAAGCTGTTATTTTTTTTTAAAGTCCCGCTGGGTTACTTGCTGGTTCTTTCAAGACAAAAGTTTTTTTCTGAAACCGTGCCGACAGGAATCGAACCCGAATTGCCCGCCTACTCTGCAATTTACGGCTTAGCCCCTGAGGTACCACGACTATAAAGTAAAATATAAAAAGTAAGTAAGTAAGTAATAATACATTTTAAATATATTTTATCATTCACGGAACTGACTTCAAATATCATTTGATCTGGTTGAAATTTATATGAGAGCAAAGAATACATTTTAGATTAAATAAAACAATTTGTGATACGCCAGCAATACTGTCGTTAACCTGTTTTTAAAGCCAGTTAACAAATACAAAGAAGTATCACTTCACCTCTAAGAATTCTCTTCACAAAGGCCACTTTTCTTGAAACCTTTTGCTATATTTACAAATCAATTTGTTTGTTTGTACGACGAATTTGATGATCGAATTATTAGTATTAACTAAATTTACTTGGAAGTAACTTTACTTTACTCTCTTTAAATTCAGAGTACGCGAGCAACCCGAGTTCCCCCTCCCTTAAAATTGCAATTAACAATTTAATTGATGGCGGGAGCTATCAATAAAATGGTTAATTGCATTCTAAGTGCTGAGTTTTATACGCTAGGCGGTGAAGGAAAACATTCTGAGTAAATCTGCATATCTGAGAAATAAATATGTCGAGAAAATGTCATGAATTTCTCTGCACATATTGGAGCAGCGCTGATTGCGCTTATTACTTAAAAAGTCTTAAAAGGTCTACTTAAAAGGTCATTACTTAAAAAGTGACTACTTAGTGAGAGTGAGATCAAGGTAGAAGAAAAGAAAATAGATTTTATACGTGTACGAGCAAATAAGAAAAAAGGTTTTATACGTGGTATAGCCACGCTTCAGCTACATTATGGTTGTGGCACGAATGGGTCAACTTGACCGGGGTAAGGTAACACTCTCACAGAATACCACCGTAAAATAGCTGCTTAATGCTGCTGTGTGTCGTAAGGTGAGTGTAGAGAACCGAAGACCCTTTTTCCTGAAAACGAGGTATTCCACCTTAGTCCTCAGGGATGACAACGCATCTGCATTTTCATTCTTAATTGGGGATAAATGTAGATATTCATGGCCACAGCATCCACTTACCATCAGGTAGACTGTGTGCTTGCTTGTCACCACTATTCTTTAAAGAAATATAATATAATGTATGCCAAACTGAGAAAGGTTAGACTTGCTAATGACTTTTAGATAAGTTAGTGTTGCAAGAAATCAATAACAATGATTCGTAAGTATGTAAGACCTAGTCCCACGCTGCGCGTTTTGAGAAGAAATGTAGCCATAGTACGTCGAATAACGAATGCGAAGCACGTGTATGCCTAATTATAAACTATTCGAGTGGGTCAACGACCATAGGCATAATTTATTACGCCGTGTCAACCTTTGCCGGAATGCGTGATATTAAATTATTATAAAGGTGTGGCTACACTGTTTTATCAGATATTGTAAGGAAATATTTATGGATATTATTTTTTACTTCTGCGAAATAATACCCATCAATATTTATCATTCAATATAAA